AACAGTATGTTTTATGCTCACAGTAAGCCTAAAAAGTTTTACAGTGACAACAATTTTATATTCGCGTCTATTGATAGAAAGGACCAATTGGCTGATATAGCTAAGATAAAGAAAACTCTGAAGTTAAACTTTATTCGAGATTTTGACCGAAAGGAAAGAAAACATGCATGAATACATGCACACACGATGAAAATTTAACAGCTCTTTTTGTTACCGAATTTATGTCCGGTCCCGTTCGAAGTCAAAGGTAAATGCATGCATCGAGATGTCGTAGTTCCCGAATATTCCTTTTTTATCGATTTTTGAGCAAGTTTATACACACAACATATGGATCGCTTCGGGCTTTTCCAAGTTACTCTTAACACACAAAGTAAGCAAACTAAGTCAGTTCTGGATGATTTCTGTCCTTATTTGAATTCCAAACAGTTGTTCTTGAGGGACAGTCGTGATCATACTTACAATACAAAAGCAGTTAACAGGAATTTAGTCCAATGGTTAAAGATCGGTGAACTAAAAGTGTTCTTTAATTCTATTCACTGTAATGCCACTCGCTGTCTTCCTCTTGTTCCAGGTTTTAAGACTGAAATTTCACCATTTAGAGCTTAAGAAAAGCACCCATTGATAATCAAACCAAGTCTAAGTAATAAGAGACAAGCAGAGAAAACACTATAGGTTATGGATACGAAGAAAAAAGGGAAGAAAGTGGAGAATAAAAGGTGTTTTCTTGCTGAAGCTATCGTAAAAGTTTTTCCTGAAATGACTTATTATGAATAGGATTTAAAAAAAAATTCAGTCTACAAGAGTTTGATCTCTCTCATTCCCATGGGGAACGGGCAGAATCAAAAGCGTTCTATGGGTCACACACTTTATGATAGGAATAAAATATTACCCCACTCATGTGAATAGTGCGATTAAAGTAGAGAATAGATCACAGCAAGCGCTTATCACGTCTTAAATGTCGTGTATGGAAAGTTAAGCTCGGTAAAGAAATGTTACTTAGTTTTCCTTTTGACAAGGAATTGACTTTTTAACGGGTCAGCAACAAACGGCCCTATGTGACAAATATGGATGATGTTTTGTCACGAAAGGTTCCTTTTTTTTCTTTGAAACTTAGGACACGGTGAACTTTAAAAGTATTATTTACTGAGAAGAACGAAAACAGCCTGAGCGTCAGGTAAGCAAAAGCAAAGACAGGTAAGTAGATTTTTGGTTTTGAGATTTGCTTTTGTGCAATAAACTTTTCAGTCAAGAAATTTTTTTGGTCAATGGCTTGGTATTAGATACGCTATGCAATTCACCACAACAGATAACTGAACCACACAGATTATTCCTCCCGTGTTTCTATTTACATCTGTGTTTGAACCGTCGGACTTTCAAGGGAGCATTATGTGTAGGGAGGGGTTCAAATCTTCCCGTATTCTTAGCTAGCTCTCTTGGATAATCAAATCTAAGTAATTTCTGCTACAGTTTACCATTTTTTGAGCGAGTTGATCACCTCACTTGATTGTTACTTGTTTTGGCTGCCTAGTTTAGATTCCACGCTGTTTCATTCATGAGTTGATTCCCTCACCTCAAGAATTTTAATCCACGAGTTTACTCAAAATTACTGAGCAGAGTTATCTATAATGATTGTCGTTAGATTTTGAAATTTTGTTTTACAATATCAGCGATTGCAAAACGACCCTTTTAATGTCCTCCCTGCCTAAGCGAATTACTTTCCCTCATGCTTCTCGTCTTTCTCTTGAGTCTTTACTCATGCTCGTCTCCTAGAGTACCTTTCCAACAACTTCACTACAGAGAAACATTACGCTCTTTTAATTAAAAAGTTGAACTTTTCCCTTATAGCTTCAAGTCTATAACAGATTGAAGAATAGAATGAAAGAACAATGTGTCAATTAAAGTACAATGTAAACACATAGATTTATTTACGACTCTCGCCTGTTCCTAGAAAAGAACAGATCCAACCATGACACACGTTGCTAAAAATCACCATAATCGTAATGATAATGATCACCACCATTATTATTATTCTGTCATAGCGCAGTCAATGTGATGATAACAAAAGTAATTAAGAGAGAATACCTTTTGAAACAACTGAAAAATTTACGAGAGCCAGCGTATATTGAAATGAGCCTACGAAAATTTTGAAAAGAAGATTACGTAGTGCTCGACTGGAAACCATTATATTAATGGGGAGTAACTTTTCCAAAGAAATCATGGCGCTGCGTATGTGGTGGGCTTAAAAGGATAATTTGGTTTTGACAAGAGATTTCATTTTCTCTTTTTGTCACTCTCTTTAGGACACTTAGCACCAGCAGGTAAGCTGCACAGATCTGGGGAAGAAATGCATAGACCATCGTCCCTGTCCCTGACAATAACCTTGCCGTTCGAGATTAATTCGTATTGCATTGTCGCTTCAAGAAGACCCACAATTATACGAAGCAAGTATCAGTTAGAAAGCGTCAAAAAAGAACCTTGTCCTTGATATCATATAATAACGCCCTTATACTAAATCTACATCAACTTACCAGGTGTAAATGTTACACTACCATTGACAAGAACACCAGTGGGAATGAAAGGCCAATGAGAAACTTTAAACGTCGGAGTCTTCTCATACTTTACTAAAAAGAATGCAACAATGAAGCTTGAGTTTCAATGCTATTTTGACGCGTCGAGAAATTCTGCACATAAATATATAATAGCCAAAAGTTTCTAAAACCTTGGACCACAGAGAAACAATAACAGTTTACAGTTCAGTCACCAGTTAGTCAACGGTTTATATGATTCTTATTTCTTCATACTTTTGGGCTTGGAGTGGAAGGTTTGTAGGTGGTATCACACGGGAGGGGATGGAGGATCAGTCGTCGCTAACAGCGTATAAAGGGGGGACTGTAGAAGATTGCCAGTGAGAAGAGATAATAAGAATATTACAGAGCCTTGAAGGGAGATCAGGTTCACACTATCCAACCTCCAAAAAGCCAATAAATAATGACCTGTCTTTCAGTCCCCATCTTTCTAACGAATTTCCTGGCCCACGAAAAGCTTTGAAAAAGCAATGTATAGAATATCACAATGGCCAGGCTCTTTACATTTTATCCTAGAAAAGTGTCGACTTTTCAAAACATGACCGTTCTCATCCGCAGCTGGTTTTACTAAATTAGGACAATGGAAACGGAAGCAACTATTATTTTGAATCGAGGATAAACGATCGAGAATGGACAACGAATTTATAAAATCCCGGAATTAGAAATTGGGAATTAAAAATACAATCAGAAAATTTTGAAATTGGAAAGATCGTTCAAGACCTCTAAATTAGTCGACAAGAGAGAAGAAATTTCATTTTTTATTTTCTATTCGATTTCTAGTAACATTCTGAAATTATTCCTGAACAGCCTTTGCGGGCGGAATATCTTTGAAAGAGGATTGAAAATAAATTAAAAGAGAGACACTCGCCACAGAATGATGCATTTATAATTTCAAGTCCCGAGGGATATCCCGTTGTTCCACTGATGACAAAAAGAAACAAGCTCAAAGGGTCTCAAAGCGATAGTTCGTCGTAGCTGACTGATCGAAGTCATCGTCGTCTTTTTACTGGGATACCTGTGGTAGCCCAGTCGTAA